ACTCTTTCCGTCAGTGCACGGTCATCTTTCTGTGGCAAGCACAACCCATAGCGATTGCTGTAACTTGTTCAAATTGAAGATGTTCTTTATAGCACCACAGCTTCTTGAAGGTTTGAGATTAGATTTCTTTCTTTAAACAAACATTGGCATAGAGAAATTGAAAACCCAAGAACACATAATTTTTTGAAATAGAAGAGAACATTAGAGACCAATGTAGTGCTTTTAAAGGACTTTTTGTAAAAAAAAAAAAAAGGCTTGAAAGTTACTGTATTTTTTACTGTGACTGCTTGAATGGAGAAATTATTCCTCTCAAATAATCTTTAGCTGTGGTAAGCACTTATGTTTTAAAATAGTACTAGGAGTTAATTACTTTAAAAATAAATTTTGATACCTGTTTAATGCATTATTTCCTAGAATGCTACTGTAATATTTTCTACATTTAAGCAAATACATGATTAGAGGATCATGGATTTGTGTCCCCTGCATCCAGAATATTTAACAGGTTTATAATGCAGCCTATCACCTAAATTCTTTCACTCTTTTCATATCTGTTGCACCAGCTTGATTATGTATAGGAAATTGGGATGTCTGCCCCTTTTCAGGTAAAGACTCTCACAATGGAAGTGGTTGATTTCTTGACATTAGTGTTCCTTTGTTCTGTGTTTACACCCTGCTTGTTCTACATGTTTGTACATTTCTTTGTTTTGTTGAGATGGAAATAAATTAAAATTGTTGCTAAACCATTTGTTTTTCCAGAAGGTTTTCACTATTTTTAATTGATTTTCATTGTGTGTTTTTGCAGCAAGCTTAGTAGTGGAGGAGCGAACGAGACAGATGAAAATGAAAGTGCACCGTTATAATCAGACATCAGGGTCTGGTTCTAGCCAAGAACATGAGCGTGAGCAATATACCAAGGTAAAGTCAGCAGTACTGAAATGATACTTTGGCTTGAAAATTGAAGGCATAAACCTGTTTATTTAAAATATTACATGACCCTCAAGAACACTGTGTTATAAAGCCTGACAGAAATGTATTCGAGTAATAGCTTTTTAACATTGTTTATATCCCCATCTGATGTGCATTAGTCTTTGATGTCACCTAAAATGAATCTGCAAAGAACAGAACACTTCAAAACTAAATCAGGGAAGAAAGATCCTTCAACAGCTGTTAAACAAAGCCATGTCACCTCTAGCTTAGCAAGACCCTGGCCTGCAAATCCCTGGAGGCTGGAAAAACGGACCATTGAAGTATCATTATATGTTGGCCCTACGCTTTTATTCTTCTCTAGGTCCTTGTTGTGTAGAGAGCTAGGCAGAATTGGGTCCAATCCCATGCAGCTATTCTCATATTTGTATAATATTTTTGCATCCTAATAATGTCATAGATAAAATACTTCCTTTCTGGAAATGCATACTGATTACTTTGATCCCCTTTTTGTAATAAAAATGTAAAGATTTCTTCTGACAATTAAGTGTACATGAAATTACATTAATGAAGTTAGATGGAGAGACCATACTTTTTGAGGGGGAGACCATTTTTTTTTTTTTTTTTTTTTTTTTTGCTTGGCAATGCTGAAATGATATCCAACAACCTTGTGAGTTTAAAACTGTTTAGGCTTTTGAGCGAACTGAAAGCATCTCACAGGTCTGCACTGTCACTTGCAAATTAAGGTGTGGAGGGCTGGAGCTAAAGATGTTTTCCCTTGTGATGCCTAACCGAGGGGAACATTTGCAGAAGTCGGGAGAGGAAACGGGTAGTTATAGTCTGTGTTTCCCTTTTGGACATACAGCACACTGTTGGTATAGGGAAAGTAAAGGGCAGAGACAAAACCAGCGGTAACATTCCTGCAATTCTCTCCCTCCAGTGCCATTGAGAGTGACGTGCTTTCAACGAGTCACCACGGGATGGCAGTATGATTGTAAAAGTCCACTGTAAAAAAGTCAGGCACATATAGCGACTGTGTGCATTAAAAATAAGGTCTCAGAACAGCACTGGTTGGAAGAAAATCACAGCTTTTATTAATTTAGACTTTTGTGCTTCAAGGGCCACATTTCAAGGACTTTTTTCACATCAGTAAGAACTAAATGCTTGTGTTTTTATTTTCACGTTTTAAGAGATGAACTCTCCATTTGTGAACCGGTGCCATACAGAAAACAGTAAACATTGTCGAACTCTCAACAGCTACAGACACAAGAATGCTGCTGGCATTTATTGCTGTAGCACAGACACCGGATTTCTGTCCCTGCCCCTCAAGGGTCGTTTCCCTCTGTTTCACTGAATTAATGCATGCTCCTGGAGGCACAGGTTAAAATAACGAATAAGTGAGGCAAAATCAGAAATTTATTTAGGAATGGGATATCAGTGCTATTAATAAAAAAAAAAATAAAAAAAAAAAAACAATTATGATGGAAATTTCCAATGAGATCATTTGTCAGAAGCCAGAATTTGTATAATAATTACAATTCATTTGATATTGGGTTTGCTGTTACCTTCCCAAGGGGTCAACTCAGGGCAGGACAGTGAGATGCACTGTGTCTCTGTGGTCCTTCCCAACCAGTTAACATGTTAAAAAAGTAGTAAAAATGCATTTGATAAAGTTTGCAGGAGAGAAAGGAAATGTGCGATCTGAGGACTTTGGCCAGCATAACCATATATGTACCTTTATTCATAGTCAAATGCCAGTTTTCTGATTTGAATTAACTGTTCTTACAGTTTGATACATATATTTGCATTTTTTTTCATTATGAAACGTCCTTTTTAATCCTGACTCTCTTTATTATTTATCATAAGCATTATTTTTGATCCTTAATATATTTTTCTTATTGGATTAATGTAGATCTGTATAGCTAAATAATTGTTGGAAAACATCAACCCACAATGTTGTGAATGTCTCTTATCCTCTAGTACCTAGAGTTTTCTAGTATCATCTTTAGTTTTTAAATATATGTGGAAATGAAATCAAAATTGAAATCACAGCATGATGAATACTAGATAGAAAGAACTCTGTTGAAAATTGGGGGTTTGGGGAATTTTTTTTTAAAAAGTGTGACCACAACTTTGAGGAAACAAATTCTCTGTCCGCTGTTATAAGACAAATATTTTTGGAGTACCCAGTGTTCTGATAGGCATGTACTCCTTTGCATGCTAAAACTGTAGTAAGGAGAGTGAATTAGTTGTCCTAGACTTTAAAACCAAAAATCTTTAACTTTTCATGTATTTTCTACACAATAATGGTGTAGTCCTAGATAGGATGGTCTAACCTATAAAAAATCTTTAAGTGCTGAGAACAAATTATATTAGCACATTCTAAGACATTGTACTATTTTCAGTGATCTAGCTGTTTGCTTCATATCACTATGGTGACAGTCATCACTTCTTTAAAAATGTTTCTAAAGCAAACCTTGTACTGCTGTCTTTCTTTACCCTTAAAAGATGCTGAAAGCATCAAGAAAATAAACCATACAGATGAAGTTTTAGACAGGTCTAATGAAAATGTAGTAAGTCATATCAGGTGGTGCCGTAAAGCTGATGACAGAGACTTCTAAGGACTTCAAACTATACCTAATTTCTCCTGCCAAAATCTGTAAAAAGTCTGAAAGCTACAGGAGCAAAACTTACTTTAAATAAAAAAGAAAAAAATTTTGCAGTGGTCTAATAGACATTTTTGAATAGTGAGAAAGAACTATTAAACAACTATTAACGAAATGGCAGCTGAAGCAGAATTTTTCCCTCTTCAACGGAAATGCTTCTTTCTTTCCCGTGTAGTGATGTTTGCCCACTGTTTATTAGAGAAATTATGCTGTGCTGCACGTTGAGAAAATATTCCCTTTGGCTTTTCAGAGCAATCAGCTTGCATGGGTTTGATTTCTTCCGCTAATTTAGCATTTGCAAATGTGCTTCTTTTATTACACATAAAATTCTCTAAACCTTTCAAAAATTTTCCTTCAGTATGCACTGGATCTGCTTTCCAATAGTTAATTATGTGTATGCAAAATTAAGTCCTTAAATTTAATTATGATTTCTCTTATATTGAAACAAGCCTTTTTTTCAGGGGTATGGTAACATGGCCTGTGCAATTTCCAGTCCATTTCTGATGTATTTCTTCCATTTTTGTAATTTCTCCCACTCAGTTTGTCAATCTTCTAGTCTCAGTAAGCAAGCACTAGTTTTTCAAGCATACATGATGCAGTTAGTATGTAAACATTTTTAAACATCTGTGTTGTAAATATCCATTAATGGATTTTAAATATGTAACTGTCTACTCTGCATTTGTATAGGTCTTGATGGCTGTTCCACTCACTCTGTTTTGAGACGCTCACAGAGCTCACATGCCTATTTCCTTCTGTTCCAGTGGAAAGACTCCATAATTTATGTTAAACAGTTAAATTATAAAAAGCTATATTAAAAAACCCCCAGGAAACAAAACAACAACAAACCCTCTGTGGGTCTGGCAAAAGGGTTTAAAGATCTTTAAACATCTGTCTGCCTTTTTTGTTGTATATTGGTAAGGCTGTAATGGCTAATATGCACATATTTGTGCTGTTTCAGTGTCTGAGAGAATCAAAACGCTTTGGTAGCATAATTCTGGATTTTCGTAGATATAAATGACAGTATATCTTAGTTAGATTTGTAATTCAAAATACAGTAAGGTTTTATTCCAGATGCCACACACAGAACTCAAACACCACACTGCAGCTGTTCTGGCTTTCCAGAGAATGTGCAACACTTTTTTTTGGTTTTGTTTTTGAAGGTCTCTTTATTCAAGAGAGTTACTGATCAGAGCATGGTAGTACATACTTAAAAGAACATTGCTGTATGTTTAGATGCACTGCCAACTCAGTTAACACTGTATGTGATTGATTGGAAAACATTTAACATGAATGGCATTAGTTCATTGGCACTCTGTGGATTTAACTTGACAGTTAATGTTTACAAGGAAGGGCCGGATAGGAGGCTCAGGACGATATGGGGCTGATTATGTTACTTTTATGTGATGATAGGCAAGGCACTTCGGGCTCTGTATAGAAAATGCTCTTGGACATTGATTTGATGAATATCATCTTTTGATCCCCCTTCGTCCACCTTTTAAGAAAAAAATATTTACTATGTATCATATTGATATGATAGTCACCCCAGTACTGGTAGGGTTTCACAAAATTCAATGAGGTTCGCATTCATTTGGTGGCCTTCACTGCAGTTTTCCCATGGTTTTACTTGCTCATTTTTACTGTTCCATGTTAGGAAGTTGAGTGGTGTTCACAGTAGTTGAGTTGGTTACAATTATGGGAAGAGTTACTCAGAATCACTGGTGCTTACTGAGCTCTGGACCATCATGTGAGCTGCTCCTAAGACACAGACCCAGATGCCGGTAGGAGTCAGAGATGGGGCCTGGATGCACAAAGGTGCTGGCTGCGGGGCCGTGAACCCCAGCAGCATTTGGAGGAACCGTGCGTGTTTGAGCAGTCATAAAACACAAGGTGCTGTGCGCATGATTGAGCATTTCCTGACAAAATTCCTTGGTAGAGTAAGGTGCCTCAAAAGATAGCTGTGATCTCAAGACCTGCGTAAGTCCTTGGATGAATCTAGCCCTTAATGTTTCTGATCTGGATTTCTCTTTCCTCATTTTAATTTTCACATTTTAATCCCCATTTAATGTTCTCATTTAATTTCTTCATTTAAGCACTTAATGAGGCACATATTTTCAGAGGTCACCCGAGACGTCTTTTTTTGTAGTCAAAGGAGGGGGACACTCCTTCAATGTTCACTTATTAATATGGAAGATAATATAATTATTATGGACTATTAAATGATTTCTAAAGTGTGTCTTATAACCAGTAAAATTGCTAACATTGTTAGTCATTGAGGAACTGTAAAAATATTCATGAAGTACGCTTTTTTGGTTTACGTCTGTGTCCTTTCCATTGACGTTAACACATCTGCAGTTCATCATACCCCTTTTTTCTCCTTTTGCTAGCATAGAAGAAGCAGCAACTCCACAGGTGGTAAAGTGAATGGAAAAACTGCATTTCAGCTGTTTATGTTTCAGATGGTTACATTGAAAAAACTTCTGTCTTTGTAATGCAGACGCAGACAGTGCAGATAGTTCGGGCATTTGAAACTAGCTGCTATTGATGTTTAAAAAACTAGACCTACGCTTTAGTAATTGCTATTAGAGTTGCCGCAAACTTCAGCAACTCTCCTAATGTCATAGATAGTGCACCTCGGAATAGAAATGTTACCTAAACTTTAACTCTGTGAGACATAGAGTTGAAAGAGTAGCGATTGCACTGCAAAGTCACTTTATTTTGAAGCCTCAAAAGTATGTAATATCTAAATATAACATGACAGGGAAATTTATCACAAATACATACAGAGTTGTGAGGAGCGGTAGTGTTCTAGATAAGCAGGACCCTATGATACTACTTTTGAGCCCAGCTGAAAACCTGCAGGCATTACTTTAGTGCAGATACCAAATAAGTGGATCTTAGCCCATGACATTTTTCTTTTGAATTGTAAGTTCAGGTGTATTGCAACACTAAAATATTCTTCTTGTAATGACCACTAATTTGTGGAAGAGTACTATTTACTTCTGTATATATTTAAGGGAAAAAAAGGTTAACTTCAAAATTGCTTTCATTTTGTTCATCTGTTAGCTGAGATGATTGATTATCAGGTTATACTGCAAAGATGTAGGTAGGGAAGAAGTAGGAAAAGTTGTATGCTTCCTGTAGAGGACAGCGAATTCACGGTAGAAGCAGCAGCTAGGGGAAGGAAGAACTAAATCTGGAAGCAGAAGTAGTAAAATGTAAACGCTGCAGCAGTCAGCATTAACTTTCAGCATCATCACTTTTGTGCTAATCTCTGTTTCTGTGAAGGGAAGGGTTTTCAGTTTCTTGGGAATCACAGCCCTGGCACACAGTATAAAGGGGTAGCAAAAGCTCAACCATGCCATGAAAATCTCATTTAGGAAGGGAAGCTCCATGTCTTATGCAGTAGCTCTGTGACTGGAATGCCAAGGCAAGTAGAAGGCATGGATTCAGGTTTTTTCTTTATCTCCCATCTCACTGTAAAGTTCTGTTTACCAACATATGAAAGACTGGCTGTTAAGCCAATCTGATGCTTACAAAACAATTCCATTTTGTACAGACTGATGGACTAGAGGGAGCAAGACAGTGAGGGTATCTACGTAGACCCCACTTGTGGGGGATGATACCTGGGCTGAAGACCCTGCGGCAATAAATGGTTTCATATTGATACTGTTTAGTCATTCAATGAAGCTGAGTCCCTAAACAGTCACTGATACACAAGCTGGAACTTGTGACTTCTCTCCCAGTATCCTAACTGGACAACCATACTTGAGGCTTTCTCTCTCTCTTCTCCCTGTCTTTCCCAGCTCATGTAGGTAGCACATGAAAGGTGCAGCAAATTCAGTATGAGTGAAACAGAGGGTCTTCTGTTGCCCCACATGGCATATATAGTCCACTCTGTTCAACTTTGTTATTCTGCAATTGAATAATTAATTGAGTGCTAAACAAACAGCCAGATTCAGGTGTGCCTTGGGACAAAGCCCAGCAGCCTGTGCCTCCCTCAACACTTAAGAAGAAGAAAGGCTTCCAGCAGGAGGAGGGAAATCACTGCATCTGACCTTAATGGTTTTCTTGATGAGAGAGCTGAGATTGTGTCAGCCTTCTCCAGCAGCATGTCATACTTGCTCAGGGACCACATGAACCTTCATCTACCATTCCAGATTTGCTGTATGCACTCTCAAACCAAGGTCCACAAAACTTTTATTCTTCCTTTGATTTTTTTTTAGACATTAGAAGAAAAATATGTCATTAATGAAATTTAAATGTTCCATTATTATGAAATGGAGCTGTTAAGAATTACTGTGCTTTGTATTTCCATTTCAGAGAGGTTTATTTTGCAGTCTGAAAGAGGGCATGCAGCAAAATTATTTAACTGATTCTGCAAGCCATTTCCAAAAAGTGATCTGAATAAACATATCAGCATAGTCTCACCTTAACCCCACTGGTCATTTATATTCAGATAAGTCACACCAAGTCACTTGGAAAGAGAATCTCCAAATAAACCCTTGCTGTAGTTGAAAATATTTTTAAATATTGGAGTTCCTGAGTCCTCTGTGTTACCTACTTTATTAAATCAGAGTTCTGCTACATCTGTTTCTATGTCAATGCCTGTTAAACATGTTATTTGAGCTCCATGTCATCATGCTTCAAGCTATTCTGAAATCATCTGCAGAGTTTCATTTAGTATTTGAAGCTGAAAATTTATCTTCAGTAAACCAGAGCTTTCTCTCCCGCAGATGTTTTTATTCAGTCACCCAGTGCAAGCCCCTCACAGGGTATTGCTAAGTTTCCTCAGTGCACGCTCCTCAGGTCAAATCCCCAGGTTTTTATTCATAAATTGGTTTGTGTTGTTAATCTTGGTATACACCATCCAGGAGCTGTGAGTAACCCTGAAACACATGCTGAGACACTGAATTTTATAACCTCCATTTCTCTATAGATTTCCATATTTACCGTCAGTGCTTAGTATCCTCTTTATTCCCTCCCCTTCTCTGTTCCAGTTAGCTTCCTCATCTTATCTTTGATGTTTTCCCAAGAGGTTTCCAAGTGTGCTGTGGAGACCTCAAACATAGTTGCTGAAAGGCACCGGAGCAAGACAAGATAAACCTGGCTTGAGCACAGGAGGCCTGATACATTTGTCTGCACAGACCTGAGCTTGTGTTTGCCAGGCTTTTATAGTTGAGTCATGACATTCATCCACTGATTCAGCCTGCAACCCAGTGCCTAGTTGGGCTGAGGATATTCACAGACTGTCACAGCTTTGTGTATAACTCATAAACAAACTTTTACGACTTGCAATTTTACAGAGCGCAGATCCGGAAAATGAACTCCCTAGAGTGTCATGTCTTCCCACGTGTTAATAGTTTTCCTATAATATGCCCTGGGAAGTATACCACCAGCTTAGTTGCTTCCGAGCCAAGGGTACCTTGCTCTCTAATGATAGTGGGGTTTAGTTTTGGGAACCTGACAATGGTTTGGTCTTCGTATGTGTGTGACCAAAGATTTAGGTAAGTAAGTGTGACATACATGCTAGGATTGAAGCTTCCTTTTATGTATGTCTAACTGATGATGAAATACGAGCACTATGTACTAGGCAGTGTGGTGTTGCAGTTGGTTTTAACTAATCAATCAAAGCTTCTGCTGTTAGCAAAAGGGTAATAACTTCTACCCCTGTCCACATATTTGTCCTGCTGGGTCCTCTGCTAGTTCTCACATGTGTGCACATGTAAAAGCAACTGGATCAGGGAACTGATCTGCCTGAAAACAAATACTGTTTTGGCTGATTTAGCTTTCTCAGGCTGAGTTAGCCTGACTAGTCCTATAGAATCATGATATAGAGATATTGTGAGGTAGAAAATGTACTTTTTTGCTTTTCTGACAGAACTTAGCTATTGAAATCAATCCCCAATGTCAGCTTCATGTAGCATTGCATTTCATTGAGACTCAACTGCAGTTCTCCTGTTTCAAACTGACTGTATAAGTACTTCATAGCATATTTTTCGATATTGAAAAATTGAAAAAAGGACTATAGCCAAATAGATGGCATGCATGTGCTTGAGAAGATGTCTGTTCACTGCATAAATATTTCATTATTGTAGTTCCAGTCTACTAAAGAACCAGCAGCCTATTTCAATTCGAACGCTGTAATTTATTTCAAGTGTCTTATTTAGTCCATAAATATCATGTTTGATTTCTTCACTAGACATAAAGACATTATTTAATATAGGCGTTTCTCTGAATTTCATACAATTTTGTTAGATCTAAAAGCAGTTACAGAGAATATATGCGTTATATTTTGATGAGACTCCTCACCCTCTCTTTTCTTGATCTCTAGTATAATATACAAACAGATCAGTACAGAAGTTGTGATAACGTCTCTGCCAAATCATCAGATAGTGATGTCAGTGATGTGTCAGCCATTTCCCGAACCAGCAGTGCCTCACGCCTCAGCAGCACAAGTTTTATGTCAGAGCAATCTGAACGCCCTCGGGGCAGAATCAGGTGAGTTCTCAGTGCAGCTTCGATTGTATCACACCCCCTCTTTCATTTAGTGCCAAAATACAACCAGAAATTATTGAAATTAGGTGACCACAACATAAGAATTTATGACAAATGTCTGTGCACATATAAACTGTCTTCCATTGCTAGCCTAAGGTGACAATATTTATGCAATTGTGCATCTAAAACAGAAAGCAAACTTCCCATGAGGAGATGACAGATTAATGTATTTGTGGCAATTGGAACTTGAACACACACTATCATCTCATTGCTGGCTATCAGTCAGTGTAATCTATATGCCAACAAAGTATTACAGCAGAAATATTACTAGATTTTTCATCTAAAGAATTTTCTTTCATAAAAGCTCTGGTTTTCTTTCTTTCAATCTATGTATTTATTTCCCTACCTACCTGCTTTTATTTTGCTGTTTTCCTGTATGTGATAAATTACTAGCTTTGAAACAACTATTTGTATACTAATTTTGATATCTCTGGTTCAAAAGTAGTTTAATTCATTTGCGTTATCAATAATCAAATATCTGTTTCATCCTTGATAATAACCTATTCTTGGTTTAGTGCTTTTTTAGATACACAGATGGGTTTCTGTCTTCATTTAACTTGCTGACAAAACTCCCACCAGCTATAATAGCTGTAGGATTGCCTTGATAATCTATGATTACACCTATCAATGTCTGAACTCTCAAAAGTTTTACTCTAAGTGTTATAAGACATGAGAAGTTAGGAACTGTAAAAAAAAAAATCCCTATGGAGAAAATCAGTCTGATAAAAGTCCAGATGGCATCATTTAGTACTTCAGAACATTTCTAGGCAGACTTACTATCTGAGAAGCTCAGCTGCAGGCTTTTTGATCTGTTCATGCAATGGGAATGGATGCTAGGGAAACTCAGAAACTGGCCTCTGTGTATGAACTAGCTCCACCTCAGTTTTTTGTTAAGGAACGTTAAGGAACATTAATGAGTTAATTAAATTAAATGGAGAAATGTGACTGGAGAGTGCTCCAGGGTGCAGATTAGTAACCTGAAATGAAACTGTGCTCCTGTAACATTTCTACATGAGCTAAAAAACCCACTGGTTAGTTATTCATATTGAGAGTTGTGTCAAATTTCTGAATGTGAAGTGTGGCAGCTTAAGACAGCAGTAGTTTTAGTTAATGTTGTTAGTCAATATCACCCTATCATCCCTCATATTAATGCATCTGTGAAAAGCGATATAAATTAAGCTTCTAGACATATGACAATGCAAGATACTATCCTTTTTGGGGCTGTCATTAAGAAAGCAAAATTTTGCTGTAATTTTCTACAAAATATCATTACTTTTAAATGTCAGAAGGACTGATGTTTCAGATCATAGTGAGTGTGGTTTGTATTCACTAACTTCACCACCAGTTCTGCCAGCACAAACACCTTCCTGACCTTTCCTCCCAAATCCTAATGGAGGAAAGATCCTTAAAAAAGCTAGCTAATGCATTTTCCCCAGCAATCCAGGCAGAATCGATTTTTCTCTCTTCTCCCTCAGTTTTGAAGATTTGAGATTCTATCATTTCAGACAATGTATTCTATATTACCCTACGTTTAGAAACAGTTACTTCTTTATTCAAGCAGTAAAGATTTTAAAACCTGGAAGCACATCTCTTTTTCTTGTGGGGGGTTTTCAGCAATTTTTGATTCAGTTACATTACTCAAACTACATTGTGCTTTTAATAATGTACAGCATTTATAGAATGAAACACTATCTGAACAGCAAGGATAAAACTAGTTGATGCAGAACAACACAGAAATACTGTGCATCTTATTTGAATAGCTAGGTAACACCCTAGCTATGCTTTGAGTCAGAACTGCCAAATTTAAAGTTTTGTAGTATTAGGAAACTTGAGCACGTTGAAGAAGTTAGTAACATAGAGAGAATGAAAACAGATCTTCCCTTTCATTTAATTAATGACAAGACTATATCTAAGCCTTTTAAGGTAGAAGACTCTTTTCATTCCTACAGTATATTTGTAATTGAAGTGCCTGTCAGAAAGCTGTGACATAGCATGCAGGGAAAATACCATTAGTTACTCTTCAGTCCGGAGATTTTGTTGATTAACACTTCTGATGATAGGTTCCAAGAGGGAATTATGATTGATGCAAGTTCTAAATATAAGTATATAAAATAGCTTCTTAATTTTTAATTTGTTTAGTGTTTTCAGGTGGATGTTATAACAAATGGCTATGTGTGGATAAACTAGTCTGCATATGAAATTATTCCAAACATCTTGCTTGTTACCATCCTGGGAAGTCTGGCTGATTGTCACGCTCTCTAGGGGAAGTGCAGGCAAATATCAGGAATTTTTGTTCTGAGAACAAAATGTTCTGGGTCTTTTGACTTGAATCAGACTTGTGAATTTGGCTTGCCATAGCATTTCGAGTTGGTTTGTATTTCATAACTGAAGCCAGATTACTAGTCCTTCTTTTTTTGGAGATTTGTTTTCATCAGTCATGGTCTTTATGCATTTATAATACAGTCACACAATACTTTGTGCCTGTGTATGCTACAGATGTTAGTGTATATGATTCAGGAATATGTCTCACATCCTAATAAAGCAGAAGGAAAATTTTCATGGTTTAATGCAAATGATTGATAAGTTAGAATCCATATTAAATACATGATGATTAATCAGCATCATATGGGCTTGAGCAGATAAAGAAGGACATTTGCTCACTTCATTAAAAATTATGCCAAATGATGTCATTGCATCATTTTTCATTAGGGGCCTGCTTATGCAGAGATACCTGGACATCTTGGTAATGTCAAGTAGGGAACTGTCATGCATGGTAAAGGTGAGCTGGAGGCTTCTGTTTTGGAAGATTTAGCAAGTTGTCTACCATAAATTGTTTCACTTAAATCTGATTGAGCAAAATCTGCTAAATATATGAAAGACTAAATAACTACTTTTAAGGTGAATTTGTCTCAGTGTATCTGGATTTCAGACTTTAGGAATATCACTGTTATTCCTCATTTTAAATTTGAAAACCACATCTTTATTAAGAATTAAATTTAGCATCTTAATAAATGTGTGATAGAATATAATTATGTATGTGCCATATTTTAATCTGATTTTACATGCTTTGCTTAATTGAATGCTTAAGTTTAATTAAAATATTTTAAATGAGCTTATCAAAGAAAGAGAATAATATAATAGGTTGTAACAGTGGAATGGCTTGTATCACAAACTCATATATGCTTCTTGGGAGTCAGGTATGTTCTCAATACATTACTGAAGGAAAAGAACTTTTTTTGTTTCATAGTTATGAACCAAATTTTCTGACAAATTTTTTCGTTCCCAATTTCCAGAACAGCATATATAATTTGCATGTATCTGTTATTCTTTCAGTACACTAGAACTTTAGCATTAGTACACTTGAGCTTTGAAACAGGAACTATGGAGAAGGGAAATGGCAACACATCATCAAGTGAGGAAGTGCTTGATGGGTTGGTAAGCAAAGGGCGCAAGGTGGTGGAGACAGTCAGGACCTCATAATCAACAAAACAGGGCAGGAAGGAGCCCACCACAAGTGTATGAACGTGAATAAGGACATGCTTGAGAGAAGAGCATTTGGGGGAAGCTTTCATGCTTTTTCTGGGAGACTGGCACAAGTAGGTGGCTCTCTGAATGGCCTGTGCTCTCATGCATGGGAAACAAACAAGACGAATTAGAGGTGTGTTGTGCAGCTGCAGGGCTATGATCTCATCATGATCACAGGGACATGGTGCGATAGCTTACATGACTGGACTGCTGCAATCCATGGAAGCACAGGGCAGAACAGCATGGAAGGGGTGTTGCTCTTTATGTTAGAGAGCAGGGTATGCAGGGAGCTCTGCCTAGAGATGGGTGATGAAAGCTGAGAGTTTATGGGTCAGGATTAGAGGGCCAACCAATGTCATGATGTTGTGGGTGTCTGCTATGGACTTCCTGGAAGTCTGCTTTAGGAAGAAGTAGATGAAACCTTCTTCCAACAACTGGAAGATTCACATTCACAGGCTCTGGTTTTCATGAGGAACTTTAAGCATCCTGATGTCTGCTGGTTGAGCAATGCAGTAGGGCACAAGCAATCCAGGAGGTTTCTGTAGTGCATTAATGACCAGAGGGAAAGTCTGGAGCAAGGACGCAGCAGAGGATGGTCAGGTCAAACCAGACATGTGCAAGTTGTTGGCACATGAGAAGATGCACCCATGAGTACTAAATGAACTGGTGCTGACTGATGTCATTGCAAGGCTACTCAATAATCTTTGGAACATCATGGCAATCTGAGGATGTTCTTGAAGACTGGAAGAAAGAAATTGTCACTACTATCTTCAAGAAGGGCAAGGGGAATCTAGGGAACCGTAGGCCAGTCAGCCTCAGCTCAACCCCTGGGAAGGTGATGGAGCAAATAATCCTGGAAACCATTTCCAAACATACAGACAAGAGGGTGATTGTGAATATTCAGCATGAATTTATAAAGGAGAAATCATGCCTGACCAGCCTGATAGCCTTCTTTCATTAGTTGACTGGCTTGGTGAATGAGGGAACAGCAAAAATTCTGTATCTTGTTGTTAGTAAGGCTTTCAGCACTCTCTTCCGAAACATCCTCATACATAAACTGAGGTAGTACAGCCTAGGTAAGTGAACAGTAAGCAGATTGAAAACTGGCTGAACACAAGGCTAAGAAGGTTGTGATCTGTGATACAAAATACAACTGGAGACAAGTCATTATTAGTATATGTCTGGGGTCAATATTGTGGCAGTATTGTTTAACATCTTCATTAGTGACTGGGATGCTGGGACACAGTGCACCCTCAGCAGGTTTGCTGATAACAGAAAGCTGATAGGAATGACTGATATATTAGGTGGGCGTGACACTATTCAGAGGGACCTCAACAGGATGAAGAAATGTGCCAATGGAAAGCTCATGAAGTTCAACAACGGAAATGCAAAATCCTGCATCTGGGGAGGAATGACTC